TATATAGTATGCAGATGAGGTCTCTAAAGCTAAGTTACTTATAGAGTAAGTACATGAGGTCTATAAAGCTAATTCATATATATAAGACAAATTCCAAAACTTTTAAAAATCATTGCACTTTCCAACCATAATCCAAAGATCATGATGGAGATTGCTTGTGGTAATAGCACCCAAAGTCCAAAAAGAGAAACCAGTTGGCAGTCATAGAAGATTACTTGAAGGTGCAGAGTTGAGTGCTTATACCCACAATGTCACAACCCTTACTGCCTTTCACTGCCTGCAGCCAGATGTGGGAAGGCAGTTACCCTTAAACAGATGTATTAAAGTCAAAATATTACCTACCATCCTCCACCCTTAAAAGTTCTAAAAATTCCTAAAGTAGAATAATAACCACCCTAATAATTCTACTACACTAATCAGGGTGACTTTATTTTATTTCTACTTTGACTTTAATACATCTCCGCCATGACCTTTAGATTATGGTTGGAAAATGCAATGATTTTTTCAAAAGTTTTGGAATTCTTCTTAAATTAAGTTCACTATTGTTTTATAGTGCTGATTTTGATCACCTATTGACAATTAATGTAACTATAATAGTTTTGAAGCTATTCCTTTATATAGCATTTAGACAAGGTCTCTAAAGCTAAGTTACATATAGAGTAAGTAGATGGGGTCTCTATTACAGCACCATAATTTTCCAAAACACCAACAAGTATAGGTCTTATCAACTGCTTTCTTTTGATATATTAAGGTAAACAATAAATAGAACACTCTCAAATACAACGCAATTACATACAAATGTACCTAACTTTATCATAGTTATAAGATGTAGTGAGTTTTCTATGTAACATTTCCCACATAAAGTTAATAAGATGCAGGCTTCCCAACCCTAAAAATCTCTTTAAAACACCACAAGCTTTTAACAGTTAAAAGAAAAAATATAAAAATATTGATACAATTTAAATAACAGTATTGAAACAACTCTCCTCAAAATACATGCAGTGAAACACAAAGACTGAAAGTACAAATGATGTGTTAACAAACTATCCTATGATAACCTCTTAATACATGGAATTAGTGGAGCTGCAAAGCATGGTATTCTGTTTAAATAACTATTTTAATACCTACAAGAACTGGAACTTCAAAGTATGTTATTATCATGGTATTCAATTCAACTAACTGTTTTAATCTAGAAGTTGTAGGACTGCAAAGCATGGTACTCTGTTTTATTACCTATTTAAATATCTGGAAATAGTGGAGCTTCAAAGCATGGTATTCTGTTTAACTAACTGGTTTGATATCTGAAACAAGTGGAACTATAAAGCCTAGTTCTGTTTAACTAACTGGTTTAATATCTGAAACAAGTGGAACTATAAAGCCTAGTTCTGTTTAACTAACTGGTTTAATATCTGAAAAAAGTGGAACCACAAAGCATAGTACTGTTTAACTAACTGTTTTAATATCTGAAAGAAATGGAACCACAAAGCATAGTACTGTTTAACTAACTGTTTTAATATCTGAAAGAAATGGAACCACAAAGCATAGTTCTGTTTATCTAACTGGTTTACTATCTGAAAGAAGTGGAACCACAAAGCATAGTTCTGTTTAACTAACTGGTTTACTATCTGAAAGAAGTGGAACCACAAAGCATAGTTCTGTTTAACTAACTGGTTTAATATCTGAAAGAAGTGGAACCACAAAGCATAGTATTCTATTTAATTACCTATTTTACTAGGCAGAAGTAGCAAAGTTTCAACTACTTATTGTGATCAAAAAGCTAATCTAGTTTACATGTGATCTGATATTAAAAGAAATATAATAACCATTTGGTATATGCTGCATCATGGGTGTGGCATGCAGAAGGTTTTCATGAGGTATCCTGCTTACGATAGTTGACGTAGGGAAGTGACTCAGCCTGGTAGTGTTTGTCATGTTCCGAATGTATGACAAAGGTGAAGATCCACTGTTTATAGCTATCATTGGGGAATGTACAGAATGACGAGGTACAGGATGAGGCAGTATCTGAAGTCCTGGTGGGAGGTTTGGTGTCGATTTTGGCTGTGGTTGAGGAGCCAACAATCTTTGAACTGGTGCTTGACTGTTAAACATCAAACAAAACAATAACAATTCAATTTAAAAAGTTAGAAATGATGATTTCAAAATATCATCAGGTGCAAATCAATTGTAATTAAACCATCAGTAAAAACAAGAAAACTGGGAGTGCATTGTTAACATACATTCTTACTCACAAATTACTATGTTACAGCACAGAGTAAAAAACAACAGAGAACATACACAGAGAACTCCCTAAACCGACATCAATAGAACCATGATAAACTACAAAAAGAGAACAGCTCATGAAGTCACACCTTTGTCTACTGGTGGGATCAGCAACATTTACAGGTGAAATGGTGATGTTAGAATTCAATGAGACAGGAAGGGATATAGCAACTGAAGTTTGAGAAGTGGAAAGAGGTGACTGATGATTCGATGGCCTCATTTGTACTTGATATGCTCTTGCCTGCTGCCCAACTGGAGAGGTTGGGCTCCTAATTTGACTTCCTGGCATGCACTGTTGCCAGTTGGCTGCCGACTGACTGGGGCGAGAAGGCATAACTTGATGGTGACCTGTGTTAAGGATGTTTCTCAGCTGAACGGGGGAATGTCCAGCAAGGTTGGGATGAGTGGAAGATGACACCAGTTGCTGAGGATACCCCTTTGTATGGGACTGTGTCATTATGGGCCCTCGTGGTCCTAGAGCCATAGCTGTTCCACCAATATTGACATAGGGTGGTGGAGGTCGAGCAACTTGAGATGGTATCACTCCCCTATGCTGTAAGTTGGAAAAAGTCACCCAGTTAATATTTGATTTTTAAAATATCATAAATGTTTTCTATTTTAGTAAAATAAAACTGATGACTTCAGACTTACTAATCTACTCAAACATAAAACAGCATTCTTTCACAACAGTCACTCTTATTTAGTTTTCAAACTTCAGCAGATCTGTATTGTTAAGAATGATCATAGATTCTATTTCTTATTAATACTAGCTGAGGATTTGCATTTAGGAAGTACAACTTGTATAAAGGACAATGTTAGATATTGTTCCTGTTCTTTCTTTCTTTTGTTATTAAATCACATCAGGTATTATTTGACTCATTTAACTGATTAAGAATTTCTGTCGTTAAATTCAAAGCCAAAAATCTATAATAAAGTGGAAATGTTATCACAGTGTTATTTATCCATCTCAGTTTCCAGTTACCATACAAAAGAAAAGTATGGTAATAGAACAAGCCAACTCTGGATGATTGATGCTAAACATAATGGATCATCTTTATTGTAAGATATGTCTCTTTCTTTTGTCCTTTTATTTTGTGTTTGTTAACATAAAATTTATCCTTTCTCAGCATGCCTAGAGTACTCTTGACACTACTACTTCTACTGGTGACTGTGCTCAATCCCACTCCATCATTATATTGTAATAACGGTCTACATATTTAACTTGGTATAGTAACACCAAATGTAGGTTTCTAACTTAAAGTAACACAGACTACACATTTAACTTTCTACAATGAACCAACTGTAGGTTTCTAAGTTACAGTAACATAGTCTACATATTTAACTTTGTACTGTAACACCAAATGTAGGTTTCTAAATTACAGTAACATGGTAACATATTTAACTTAGTACAGTAAACCAATTGTAAGTTTCTGAGTTAGTGTAAAATAGTTTGTAATTACTTGTGTCAGGTGTTGTATGTCTATCATAATATACTGAATGTACTATGATGTTACCTGTTTATAATTACCCGTAACAGAAGTTGTATGTCTATCATGTATTGACTGTACTATGATGTTACCTGTTTATAATTACCTGATTCAAAAGTTGTACGTCTGTCATCACGTATTGACTGTACTATGATGTTACCTGTTTATAAATACCTGATTCAAAAGTTGTACATCTGTCATCACGTACTAACTGTACTATGATGTTGGCTGTTTATAGTTACCTGATTCAAAAGTTGTACGTCTGTCATCATGTATTCACTATACTATGATGTTACCTGTTAATAATTACCTATTCAAAAGTTATATGTCTGTAATCATGTATGGACTGTACTATGATGTTGGCTGTTTATAATTACCTGATTCAAAAGTTGTACATCTGTCATCATGTATTGACTGTAGTATGATGCTGGCTGTTTATAATTACCTGTGTTAGGGGTGGTATTCCTATCATCATGGAAGGGTTAACTGTTTGCTGGCCTATGCTCAATCCTCCTACTGGCTGCCGGTCAACCAGTAAGCAGCCAATTTTGCTAATGTAGTCACTAAGAAACTCAGATTCATAAGCAAACTTAATGTCAACTACGTGCTGAGAGTTAGGAACTTCACAACGGCGCCGTAGGATATGCTGCAACTAAAAAAAAAATTATATGAAAGAACTGAATAAACACAAAATCATACAAAACATAAAGCACTGGTTATATGAAGTGAAAATAAGTAGGTTTCAAAACCCCATTTTACAAGTTAATGAAGAAAACACTGAAAAATAACATGCTCCAATTATAGCTTAATTTTAAATAAGCTATGTTCTTTATAACAACTATCTTAATCTATCCAAATATTACTTTGTATCTAATACTGTAAAATAACTAACTATGTATCTTAACTCTCTCTCTACAGGCCTGGTAATTTTGACCAACCTTGGAACTACCATGTAACTAAATACTACAACTTTTAATGTAGTAAGCCTAACTTTACAAAAGATAGTTTGCTTTTAGAACACACGTCTTTAACACAAAAAAAAATCAGATTTTTAATTGAGTATTTTTACTAAACATTTGTCTGTGAATTTATAGAGCCAGACTGACTCAGACTCTCATTAGTCTGGGTGCAAGGTGATTTTTCTGTTAAAATTAAAAATACTTTTTCTCATTTTATACTTTTTAAATTTAATCAGCAAAATCTCTTAGTCTTCTAAATGGATATCAATACTGTTTTGTCTATAAAACTGTATATTTTTATTTATTATTTTCTCCACCCTAATGCTATATAGGATGGGTCCATTTGACCCTTCTTTCTTTCTGGAATGAATGCAAATTATAGCAGAAAAATTACAATTATTTATCCCAAACAGGTTCATAAGAGTTTAATTCTACTGTTTTATTGCACTTTAAACCACGTCTAACTACTAAACTTGCTGAACAATTGTGGGCACATGATCAACAAACTACTGAATTACAAAACACACGAGCAGCTCAAGTGCAAACCTTGCTGATAACTTAAATTATTACCTTTTAGTTACATTTATAAAATAAACAAAAATATATGTAAAAATAAGAAATTCAGTACTCATGTCTCAAATATTGTTTTTTCGCTCTTGGTCACCAACAAAACTTAAGCATACTTTTTTGTAATTACAGGAGTAATATACAAAATAAATTTTATTTGTTTACAATAAGGAATTAAGAACACAAAATATTAACAAATAAAAAAAGAACACAATGACAGAAAGCTATTAAAGCTAAACTGGTTTTCTAAAATAAGCTATAAATTGATTAAAATAACCTGGTCAAGGTGACCTCAGCAATAGCAACAATAAATATATAGGCTAATTAATTCATAACCTACCATGAGAACAATCTAGTCTTATACAGAAAACTGTAAATTAAAATATTTTCTTTCTACCGGCTGAAATAATTTAATAGCAAATGTCAAAGACAATATGTAATAATAGGGCATAGCATGTAATTTGACTTTCTGGTTTATATCTTTATAAAGGAAGAAACTGAAGGCTATACACTTAGATCATGGCCGAGAAATACCTACATTATAAATCTACAATTTATGTTAAACTCAGGTAGTAATAAGATCTAAAACTGTCAATTTGGAGCAAACAAATGTCATATGATACAGAGAAGTGAAGACTGACAATTTATATAAAATAAATATTCAGAAATGATAACTTACATAATATTCAAATATGATTTATTAACTATGTTTTGATGCCAAGTTTACTGAAATACATTCAGAGTATAATTGTTTAATTAAATTTTAAATGTAATCCTAAAAAAGGTCATTATATGCACACTTTAACCTAGCCATATCCAGAGACTTAATCCATCGTTGAGTTACATTTTTTAAATATTTTACAAATAATACTTTGTATATATTACTGTAAAATAACTATGTACTTTGGTCTACCAACATTTCTTTACAGTAGTTTACATAACTATGTACTTTGGTCTACCAATATTTCTTTATAGTAGTTTACATAACTATGTACTTTGGTCTACCAATATTTCTTTACAGTAGTTTACATAACTATGTACTTTGGTTACCAACATTTCTTTACAGTAGTTTACATAACTATGTACTATGGTCTACCAACATTTCTTTACAGTAGTTTACATAACTATGTACTTTGGTCTACCAACATTTCTTTATAGTAGTTTACATAACTATGTACTTTGGTCTACCAACATTTCTTTACAGTAGTTTACATAACTATGTACTTTGGTCTACCAACATTTTTTTATAGTAGTTTACATGACTATGTACTTTGGTTACCAGCATTTCTTTATAGTAGTTTACATAACTATGTACTTTGGTCTACCAACATTTTTTATAGTAGTTTACATAACTATGTACTTTGGTCTACCAACATTTCTTTACAGTAGTTTACATAACTATGTACTTTGGTCTACCAACATTTCTTTACAGTAGTTTACATAACTATGTACTTTGGTCTACCAACATTT